TTATCTATATTATTTGTTATCATGTTTAGGAACCGTGACATTTTAGTGAAGGGAGCAGATCGTAGTTGATAGTGATCCGTTACTAGGCCCACGGTTGAGCACGCATGTGTTCAGACAGAGGATTGATTGCAAAATTTAAAGTAAAAGTTTTATCATTTGTACGTGTTTACAAACTCAAGCGAATTTAAAACAGCCAAGAAGAGGCAAAAGAGCAAACAACAGAACAAACACCGCTTTGACAAAGACTAATCCATATTAATTTATACAGTGAACACACTCAGAAGAATTGGAGAAAATGAGGAGGAGTTTCAACATCTGAAAAAGCGGTTGGAAATGGAAAAGAATCCGGGCAGTAGCACGCATGTGTTCAGAGGATTAATTGCAAAATTTAATAGAGTAAAAGTTTTATCATTTGTACGTGTTTACAAACTCAAGCGATTTTAAAACGGCGCAAGAAGAGGGCGAAAGAGCAAACAACAGAACAAACACAGCTTTGACAAAGATTAATCCATATTAATTTATACAGTGAACACACTCAGAAGAATTGGAGAAAATGAGGAGGAGTTTCAACATCTGAAAAAGCGGTTGGAAATGGAAAAGAATCCGGGCAGCAATGGTAAAAAAAAAAAAACTCTCAAAAAATGTCCTCACTAAAGCTCTCATCTTTGACAAAGTCCATCATTTATTTTAATTATTATATTGAATTTATGACTGAACAATGGCTTGTTAGATACAGAGAGAGCATGAGCTAATTGAATAGAATATATTTGTCATTGTACAAGTATAATAAGATTTATTTTGAAACTTCCAAATTGATAGTAAAACTTAAGAATACAGATGATTTAAAATGGCAATATAAAATGATCAATTATAAAAAAAGTTTGCAGCAGTATTAAAATAGGGCAAATAGTTCGGATGTGCAATGCAGCATTAAAACCTAAATAGTACAAACAGAAAACATAATGTAATAAAACGGTAGGGGTGAATTATTTGAGGTTAATGTGTGTACTGGGCTACATTTTAGTTACAGCAGCTATCGCTGTGTTGTTATGAAGTCAGTTGTGCCAGACAATTTTGGAGGCAGAGACAGATTGTGGGGGGCACTATAGGGAAAAACTTAAACTGCTGGAATAAAGAGTTTTAAAGGGTTAGTGATGGAGAACTTGCAGGTCAATGGGCATCAATGTTTTAAGGTTGGTAAACACTTGTACACGGACGCATATAATACTACCTGCCTGACATTGGCATGTGTTACTCAGGTGTCAGAGTTGTGCAGAATTGAAGGAAGAAACCTCAAAGACAGTGCCAGACGGATGCTGGACAGGTAAAGCCTACAAATCTTGCCACATTAATCAAACATTGTGGTGTCAATACTCAATAAGTTACAACACAAATCAGAAATTTAAAAAAGAATTCCTTTACTGGTCATTTTGAAATGTAAAACTTTGTCCGCAATTGTTAACCACCTCAATCTGTATTATATTTTAGGGTTTTAAAAAAATTCCCTCATGTCCAAATTCAA